CACTGAATATTAAAATTTTGAAAATTGAGAAAATAAAGCCAGAAAGTTGAATTAAAGGCGAATATATATATATATACATATATATATGTATATATATATATTTCATTAAAATAAATTATAATTACAGTTTCTAGACCTATAAAAAGAAAATGTTAACTCTTCACCTTTCAATATTGAGTCTAAACAGCTCTTCATATATTAAATGACCACCATGAAGCAGTTAATTCAACTTCTAAAATGTTACCATATTTATAACTGGAAAGCCAACTATGTGTGGGTGAAAGTCCATAGTCAAATTATAGTATTGCTTTTTTGGGGGAGGATGGTTGGGCACGGGACACTTTATCACCCCATAAAAGGTTCATTTGTAGTCTTAAAAGCTGTAACGTATATTTTAACAAACAGTGGTCGATAGCTGGTCAGTCGCTTCTTAATCATGGTGAAAATACATGACCATCACGTCCACAAATTGCTGGTTTTCTTGCTACTTTCTTTTTTATTCTTTTAAAGCAAGCAGCCCTTCCTGTTAGCAGAATTATTTCCTGAGAAATAATGATAAACATTCCAAAGATACAACAGAACTAAAGGATGAAAAAGAACAAAGCATTTCTATTTTTTTAAAAAGGGAATATACACTTCATAAATCAATTGTTATCTAGAAAGTCTGATTTTTCTTTAAAACATGACCTGCACCATTAAGCTTTTTGGCCAAAAAGTTATAGCAATAAGCATTTGGAATTAATTTTACAACGTCCTTTGCTGGTCTTTATTGTTACCTGTAACTCCCTTTCCTCATTTTGTTCGCGTTCCTACTACCAGTACACAGAACGTGGAATTTCTGAAATACCTATCATTCTCTGTCAAGTCCCTTAGGACTTCTTCAGGCACAAATCCTGCTAGAAGAAAGCTTAATTGTTTGTCCTAAAATTTAAGTAGAACAAAAATCTGATGCGTTCAAATTGTTGAATATGGCAACCATGAAAAAGCATGAGATGAATTATAAGCAGTGACTGTAAACGTGAAGATCAATAGTTAAGTGAAGAAACCAAGTTTTACGATATCTAGTGGATAATATAATAAAACCACGTGTGCATGGTGGGGTATGAATAGCTTGGAGAATTTAATTTGGGAAAGGGTGGTAGAATTTTGAAATATGTTAAAATTATGTATTTCTGAATTACATGAATCGTTTATCATTGTAATGCATATAGTATTAAAGCAAACCAAAGTTATTGCAACATACATTGGTGACCTACTTGAATTAACAGGATATAAAACTTTATTAGCATTCTAAAATAAATTCTTTTGATTTCAAGGTAAGAATGAAGAAATATTATCCCATCCCAAATTTTTCTTTTAGATTTGGGTGCATGAAATTACACCCATTCTTTGGTAATGCTGAACCTTGCTTTAGCCTTCAAATTACACAATCATTTGACCAACTCTTGACAGTAGCCTTTGTTTTCATATAGTCATGGCACTTTTCCTTCACTCAAATCATAAGGAAAAGAACTAAATTATTTTTTGTTCAGTAAAGCATTTAAACAAAAGCTTTGATTGGTGTCAAGTCCCAACATCACCGGAAGCTCTGCTGGCCTTCCTGGTCTCAGACCCTCTTTGCCACAACATAAAACCAACGCCCGCAGCCCGTACATTCAGTGGCCTGAACTGACTCGACTCATCTAGGCGCAGACTCCTATGAGCTGAAAGCATTTTAAAGTGAGCAACTGTATAAACCACTACCCTGGAGATCGACATCTGCACATGCCTCCATGTCTGAAACCTTCCTCACTGCTCCATGCCCACCCACAACCCCCTGCCCTCTTCCGCCATTTCTCCAGAAACTACCCCTTCTGCTTCGGAGAAAACCACTATTTGTGGGGCTACAGAGCTCCCCTCACCCCAGCTACTCTACCCAACACTGCTTAAGCTTGTTATCCTTAGGTAATTCGGATTTAAATCTACTCTAGTAACTCATTCTTAACATAAAGGTAAAACATTCTCATTATAAATAAAAATTCTAAACAACACAGAAGGTTTCAAAGAGCATACAGAAATGCCCTTCCTTACTTTAATGGCATAGCAGGCCTTCTTCTCAGAAACAACAACTGTATTACATTTCAGAAAAATCTCTATGTCAACTTTATAAATAAATGAGTTTTAAAATACCAGTGGGATCATTTAATAGACTGATAAACCTTAGAAAATTTTATACTGTGTAAAAAAAACAGGTATATCAAAGTTTACCAAACATAGGTCTTTTCTATAAAAATCTGGGCTTTAAGTCCTCACTCAGAAATATAAGACCCTGGTTCAGCCAACTTACATGCTTCTAAATTACATGCCTCCTCAAAAATGCAATCCGCGAAATGAGGACTGCCAATATCGGTTTGAATAAAATTACTGTCCAAGTGAAACTGCCTCCAAATGCAGTCTGACGGGGCTGTCCTTTGGCAAGAGGGGTTTACTCTGGCCAAGGGGAGAAAAAATAGACTGGGCACCCCTTCTCCCGGCCTCCCACAGTATCCATACAGGCTCCATTATAACATTTTCAAATTATACTGTAGCACAGTTCAACAGTTCATTCCAAACATTCTCCAAAAATGTAGCACTGTGCCAGACCCCGAGAACATAAAATTATAAGACCCATTCCCTGTCCTGGAGGTGCGAACGCCAAAGGCAGGGGGCCATGAGCACTTCCAGGGCCTTGCCCATAGCGCAGTAGATACCCACTGGGTACCTCAGGGGCAGGGAAGACGCAGTCACTTCTGTTCAGCCATTACTTTTCTTTATTTTGTTTTCAGTCTGTGAATTCCTTGTTTCTAACACAGAGCCGGGCACGTGGTGGGGTTGGAATGCTTGCCAAGTGCACTCACGTGCATGCCACTTAAAAATGCAATTCCTTTATGGCATTTTCGGGCCCATTTGAATGCTTGGTTTGAGATTGCTTACACATGCACTGTAAATATCTTTAAAAAGAAAAGTTGGTTGGTTGCTGTAAATCTTATCGGAGGAACAAACAGTGAAATACCTATTTAGAATGGAAAACACCCAAATGGAAAGCAATTGTAATGGAGAATGTCCACACTGAAGGGTGCCAGGTAATCTGTGCTACGGAAGTTGGAGCCTCCGCTGAGCAGGTGTTAGAAAGACAGAGATCTGGCCATGACAAGCAGGCATAACGAGGCAATGAAGAGATGTCACACGCATGTGATGGACCCCAGGAAGAGAGGCCGGGATGAACTGGAGGTTACGTGGAAGGGATGGTTACGTGGAGGGGATGGTTACGTGGAGGGGATGGTTACTTCGGCTTAGGTGGCTGTGGGCAGGGATTTTCACTTCATGTGTAGTTTCAAAAAAGGAAGTACGATTATAAGTTATTTGTACGTTGTATGGTTT